TCTTTGGGAGAAAGTTCATTTTTAAACTAAAATGAAATGAAATTATGTGGAAAATCAAAAGGAAAGAAAAACTTTTCTATCCTGGAATATTTTATGCATTCAGATAATTTCAGATTCTTTTCAATGCCAAGGTTTATTCACACTGGTAGATAAATACTGTCAGGCAGGTCTGGGCCAAAGTCATTGGCCACCCACAGAGGAAGCTTAATCACCATGACTGCTTCAACTGGCAATCCCTCTTTACAGCAACTGAAACAAAGCAAAACAAAAAGTGAAAAATAAAAAGGAAGTGGGGCCGGCAGAGGGAAGAGAACTCTCCAAGCTCCTAGAGAAGGTTGTGGTGCCCCTGGACTCAGAGGCCCTTCTGCTCATGAACCTCTCCAAGGACAGGGAATGGATAAAACCTAGAAACAACTTCCTTAAGGTGAGAGCCAGCCTGTACACACACCAGGTGTACACACACCTTAACAGGTGTGTAGAAGACACAGACCCAGGAGAGGAAGGGCTCCCTTAGGAAGATGTTAGCCTGGCTAAATGAACAATGCTACCAGGTAAAAAGCCCATGGATCTGTATGGATTTAGCTCAGACAAGGTAAAAGCACTGAACTCAGTTCCAACTCCTGATGATTACAATAGAAATACATGAAAAAGAAATGGCCAACAGCTGAAATGATCATGTCACTTCAAAATTTCCAAATGAAACATGTCTATTATTACCAAGAACAACAAGCATAATTTTACATTCTTGCTAGTAGTAAAATATTATGAAAGTACCTAAAGTTACTTTTCATATAAATTGGTACATACTAAGCTACTAGCAACTAGCAAATAACAGCCACACAGTTACATCAAATCAATACCATTATGCTAGAATTCCTATTATAATGAAGAGATGTCATAATACAGAAGAAAAATAAATGAAATACATCAAAAAGAGAAAGTCTTGTTAGTCCTTTCTAAAAATGTATGATAAAAGCCTTAACCAGAGCCTACATCAAGGCTCTCCATCTCCACCTGGCAAAGATAATTAAAGTATGGGTTTCTAGGGGATCCATTTAGCCACTGTATTTATCTCACGGTGAAACATTTTATCTTAAACTCTTAGTTTTCAAAAAAGGCACAGAAGCCACATAAAAATGCAAGTTGAAAAGAGGAAAAACATCTCTTCTGTCTGACTCCTATAGAAATTAGATTACAAATCTAAGCTAAGAATTGTGAAACCTATATAGCTACATCTTGCCTTCAAAAAATCCAATATACATATTTGATGAAATGTACAGTTCTATTACTCACATTATAAAAGGCAGTATGTTCTATGTCTATAAAACAAATTTACTAAATAATTTATGCTAAGTTCCCATGAATGAAAATATACCCTAAAATAAAATTTTAAGAGAGCTCCTTATCATGTTACTATACCAAAGGCATTTGTATATTTAAAGACATTTGTATATTCAAGAAATGTTGTCTCTTCATCAGGTGCCAGTGGCACACACTTGTAATCTTAGCTACTCAGGAAGCTGAAATCCAAAATTCTTGACTCAAAGCCAGTCCAGACAGACAAATCTGAGAGACTTTTATCTCCTATTAACCAGCAAGAAGACAGAGTGGGGGTGTGGTTCAAGTGGTAAAGCATCAGTTTTGAGTAAAAAGGCTCTTGCTAAGCAAGAGCATGAGGCCCTAAGAGGGAGGGAAGGAAGGAGGAAAGGAGGATCACTTTACAAGGCTACAGCAGTAAGAACAGCAATGTTTTTTTGCTCTTCTTCAGGACTGACAGTCTGAGTTTTGCTTTACATATTCAGGAATTGAGTTAAAGGTCTTATGAAAACCACTCTGGAAAACCAAGTAACTATATTTGATAGATTGAAAGACAGTACTGTAGGCTTAATAATAAACTTCTAAGAGAACACATCCGCTTTTTTTTTTTTTTTGAAGTGGCAGACTCTATGTTAGCTGCTAACATGAAGGCTGAATGGCCATCTCCCTCAAGGTCAGGGTTGTAACAAATACTCAGGGCTCATGGATGACACAAAGGTGATGTGCAGCGCTGAAGAAAAGCCTACAAAACAGAGGAGCCATCGTGACAGGCCCACAGGGGAAAGGCAGGAGCTCCGGGGCTGGCTTTCATAAGCTGCACTGGGAACATCACAGGTTAAGTGTCCACACACACTGCAGACACTGACCTTTCTACTACTCTCAACCAAGAATTAAATCATGTTTGCTTTTAATCAGAGCATGCCCTGGCATGAATGCTATCAGCTATGTGTTGTTCATATGGGCTCAAACCTTCAGAATTCATGACAAAGACAAAAAAGCAACAGTTACTAAGGAATTCCTCAGATAAAACCTTGTGAAATGTCTCATTTCCTGCTTTTCTAAATCAGAGACATTTTTAGAGGCTTCCTGCTGATAGGATATTACAAAGAAATAGGTGTGTTCAATAAAGAAGGCTTGTAGCTCCATCTGCTGACTAAGCTCCATCTGCTGACTAAGTCCTAACCAAGGCTGCGCAATGAAGGCTAGAGGGCACCGTAGGCCAGGCACCTTTATACCTGTCTGCACAGAACAAGGAACCAGAAGAAAATCCAGACTCCCATTAGCACACCTACCAATTCAGAAAGCCCTAAAAAGGATCAAAGCTTTCCCTTTACTGATATAGCAAAGAATCTAGTACCAAAGAAAAATCTTTCAAAGCTTTCTTGCAGATCTGTGACTGATAAAATATATTTATTCAATGCTTGATAGGAAATGTACTCATTACCTTACTCATGTAACTGTAACCCCTCTGTATAGTATCTTTACAATGAAAAAAATACAAAAAAAAAGGCCAAGAGAGTCAATTTGAATATAAGCAAAATACCAGATGAAATCTTTGTCAATATTTTGAGATTGGGAATGATTCTGAACTAGGAAAATAGCTTTATTCTTAAAAGATATATGTTCAGTATAATACCTTTACATTTTATGTAGATAGACAAGAAGACCAAAAACAAATGTGGTACAAAACGAGGAGAATCCATTAATTATTATATTATTCTTCCGACTGGCTTGAAACTTCAAAATAATTAGGAACAAATGCTCAGCCCATGGAGTTCTCACTCTTCAGTGCCTTGGAGTGCTGAGGCATGCGCCCCCACGCCTTGGGGTGCCCTGAAGGAAAGCTGCAGTGAATGACAGCCCAGCAGCTGGAGCGGCCCCCACCCCACTCCAGTGTGCACACAGCATGGCCCGACAGGGCCCTTAAATGTCGGTCCCTCCCCTCTGTATGTAGCAGAGGTCAGGGAGGATATATCCAGGATAATGTGGTTCTTCTCCCTCGTCCCCAGCACCACCCTGGCCTCCTCCCCACCAATGTGTTAAGTAGGCAGGACTGGAGTCTATTCGAAGATGGAGCCACTTAGCAGAGTTCTCAGGGTTTGGGCAGAGCCCAGGCTGTTCTGTGATGGAGTAACAGTGCTGTCACTCCACTGTGTTCAGCCACTGAGAATGCAAATGTGTTCTGTTACTGTGGCCACTGTAAACCAAGCTAATAAAAGCCTATCTAACATCAAGATAAAGCCATCGGATCCCTTAGAAAAGACCTAGTCACACATGAAGATCTCTCTACACATTCATAATTACTGATCACTAACATTACTGTAGACCCTTAGACTCAGGACACTAACTTGTTTTCCAACCTCAGGCTTCTTTCAAAGTACATGTCCTGTTTTTCCTCCAGATATCTTACTAGTATTTTGAACATTAAAACTAAAATATATAAAACGTAATTTTTCAGTTTGCAGTACTGAAATGAGCAAATACATGGGCATTTAGAAATACTCCCTTAGGAGTGAGGGAAGGGGTGACATTGTCCAAAAAAAAATGTACTCTTCCTCTAATTTATGCAACTGTATGTAACCACCCTCTATACATCACCTTTATAATAACAATTTTTTTTAAAAATCAGAAGGGCTGGAAAGGTGGGTCAGTGGTAGAGTGCTTGCCTTGTATGCATGAAGCCCTGGATTTTATTCCTCAGCACCACATACGCAGAAAAAGCCAGAAGTGGCACTATGGCTCAAGTGGTAGAGCACTAGCCTTGAGCTGAAGAGCTGAGGGACAGTGCCCAGGCCCAGAATTCAGGCCCCACGACCGGACTCAAAAAAAAAAAAAAAAAAAAAATTTTTTTTTTAAATACTCCCTGAGTACAAGAGGCAGGGATCCTCTTGGACATCAGTGTATCACATGGGATAAGAAGGGTCAGTGGAGCAAAGGAAAGCAGTGGACAGGATGTGTGTGGGTGTGCATGGACAGGAGACCTGCTGCTAAATCAGATAGGAAGCACAGAGGAGTGGAGAGAGAGATGTAGAAGAGGAGCAAGCATCAAGAAATATTCCTTGGCATGTGTCATGCACAACTGACAGTCTCCTCATTTACTGACCAGGATCAGACTAGAAGAACCGGTATGTAGGAAGTCCTTATGCTCAAGCTGCCTGCTAGAAATACAAGCAGGGGGACACACCCCAGACTGAGCAGCTTTGCCTGTCTGTGTGCACCTAAGTGTGTGGGTGTGTGTGTATATATATATATATATATATATATATATATATATATATATATATACCATCTCCCAGATTATGCCCTGAAAATAACACGTAATAACAAAATCTAAACTAAGCAAGATGTATTACGCTAAGTCCTAAGTGGCCACCGAGAGCTCCATGTGGACACACTGGATGGAGACGGGATCACCCTTCCTTCATGTGCACCACCTGCCCTGGATGCCTCCAGTTCTTCATCCCCTCTCCCATGCCCGTTCCACACCCATAAATTACGTAAAAATTACTATCTGCAGTTTTCCTTAATCTGTTAGTTCTCTGGATCAAAAGGTTTAGAAAAGGTAGTTATCTTGAAAGAGAGCAAAGCTACAAATACTGAAAATAAGGGTAGAATTACATTTTAATGGCAACCTGCAAAATTTCTTTATGCATAGTTAAGATCTTTGAACGACGGCAACTCACTCCGTGTGTCCTTGGAAAACATTCACGGAGTGGATGGAAGGGTCCCTGAAATCCCAGAGACGAAAAGTCGTGTCACGGGAAGAGGTCACCACAAGCCGCTGAGTAGGGTGTGTGCAACAGTGCGTTAACTCCTGGTCATGCCCTACAACCAAATATAACAGAAATGCAAGATCATCCACCCGCAGACATACAGAGTGAAAGAATCAAAACTACTCATGGGCTCCACTGCTGATATCCAAGGGAAGGCGAGCCTCAAGAACTCGCTTCACAAGATATAGAGTCCTCCTGAAACTGGTTTTCCCTCACAGTCTAGAAGTCCCTTCAGTTATCCAATTAAAAAAACAAGAACCAGATGTAGTATAACCCACTTCCCGATTCTATCAGAGTCAAATCACTCACTTTTCCTGGTTAAGCATAACAATTTACATCTTAATTCTTCTAGGATAGTTTCTAATGGTGTACATAACACTGGGTCTTCAGTAAAATACATAAAGCATTATACATTTTCTCTCACAAAAAGTATTTCATGGATACAATTATGGACTTTAAATCAGCTGACTTAGAACTGATCAAAAGACAGGTTAAATCTGGGTGAATGCCTTGAGCTAACCAGGTGAGTAGGCCCATTCAAAGGCCCACAATCCCAAATCTGAAAGTTTCAGCTAGCAGAGGCTTGCTTCTAATAGCTTGGAAGACAGCAAAGAGCCTTGTAAAGGCCTTTAGACAAGCCATCAGGGATCCCGGGACAGCCTCTAGATGCTTAGTATAGACCTTGGCGAACAGCTAGCAAGAAAATGAAGGCCTCAGTCACACAGCAAAAAGGAAACAGATTCTTTCAATGACCAGTACGCTTACAAGAGGATCCTAAGCCCTACTGTGGTAGGTCCCACCTGGGCAACACCTTCACTTCAGCCTGAAAGACTGTGAGCAGAGAGGCTCCCATGAACTCAAAAAGCCTGACCAGGAAACCTTGAGACAGTACATTCTTCTTGTGTTAAGCAGCTAAATTTATCACAGAGAAATAGAAAATCAATTTAAAAAAAAACAATCACATTGCAAATATCTAGATGCTAAACACTGCATGCTACAATTAGTCTCTGAAAGGCAATCTTAGTTACCAATATTTTATGAACTCTAAAGGAGTTCCAAAAATTTCAAAGACCCAAGAGGGTTCAAACAATTCTGGCCAAGAAGTAGTCTGTAGGATCAGATATAATATGCACATGACCTGCAAGTGCTCAGTTAGGAAGTTCAATTATGGTAAGGTACCTGTCAGAGAATGAACAAGTTCAGATGTCTCAACATCATACAGGTTCGCTGTTCTGTCCCATGAGGCTGTTACTGTCTGCTTCCCTCCAACCAGCCAATCTGCAGCAATGACCACACCTTGGTGGCTTTTGAGAGATGTCAGCGGAACCCGGATAGTTGGGCAGTCACTGGACACGTCTCCGTCAATATCAGCCTCATCTTTATCAGAACACTCTACTTCATCTTCGCCAGATATTTGTTGCTAAGAGTAAAATCAGAAAAGAAAGACTTCTTGGAATTCCTAGGAGTTTTACTGATAAGTTACACCATGAGAACATTCTTACTTATTAATCTAGGATCTGGTCATCATTAAATATAAGCATAGAATCTAGCAAATAACAAATGCTTAATAAATTTGTTACCTATATATATGACTTAGCTATAACCAAAGACCAAAAAAAGTAAGAAAAAAAGCAATTATGACACCCAATGAACTATAAATCATGGCAAATACAATGATTTTCAGTATTTTAAGTTTCTACCATTTGTTAGTAGAAATATAACACTAAACAAATACAAAAACAACATTACAATAAAAATGGCATTTCAATTCTCAAGAGCCTGTTTAGAATATAGATCAAGAATTATAAAATAATTATGTTAAAATAACCAAATTCTGTAATAATGAAAGTTCAATTTATTTTCCTATGATATCAATGAAGTTTACTGTCAAATCCAAAAGATAAAATAAAAATGTAACAGGCAGTATGTATTCATTTAGCGGATACTGGTAAGTTGCTTAAAGACAGACTGGTGGTTACACAGGAGAAAGGGACATGGGTCATAAGAAGACTGTGCTTATTACAGGTTGTACACAAGCCTGGAAAGTCCCTGCCCTCCCAGAATAACTATCCTAGCAAAGATGACACACTACACACACATCACAAGAGTATAAGAATGTATGGCACAGACATGAATACACTACTGTGACAGGTAAACACAATGTGCATCAGAAAGGGTATGTGCTGCACATGCACTAATGTGGAACATAAAAGCATAGATAGAGAGAAAGAGAGAGAGCAAGCACTATGGAAAAAATCAAGGCAAGGAGGAGACAGTTGAGGGCTTCTGTTTAACAAAAATCTTAGTAAAAAATGGCTTTAACAAGGTAACTTTGGGTCAGATCATTAAAAAAGCAAGGGAGAAAGACATTCAAATATTGAAAGGAACATTCACTGCAGGCAGAGGAAAGAAGGGTGAAGTTCCGGGCAGGCTCAGGTAGAATCATGTAAAGCCTGGTAGATCATGGGAAGGATTCTCAATTTTATTTCCTATGTAATAGAATATAGAGAAAAATCAGGAGACTGTCATGGCTGAATTCTTCTGCTGAAGCTTGAACTCATAAGACCTCAGAATGCTTCTGTATTTGGAAACAGAACCTCTAAGGAGGTAATTAAGTGAAATTCAGGCCATTAGACTGGGCCCTAATCCAAAATGCCTGGTGTATTATGAGATTACAAGAGAGACACACAAAAGACCAAGAGTTATCTTCTCAGATAACTATCTTCAGGATAAGGAGAGACTTTATAAACAACCACTACGACAGCTCACTGCTAGCCTCCAGAGTGTGACAACACTTATGAAATGTTGAAGCCATCTAACCAGTGGTATTTAGTCATGGTAGCCCCAGGAAACACCAGAGAGAGCCTGACAGATTATAGAAGTGCAGGTAAGAGATGGCAGCCTGGACTAGATTGGTAATAAGAAAATTGAGAAGGCTGATTAAAATATCCTCCAAGTAAAGATTCAGAGTTTGCTGACAGGAGGGCTACACATATATAGTATGAGAAAAATACAAGAGTTCACAAACATCTTAAAGGTACAAAATCCAAACCCCTAGGTTGAGTAACAGTGACATTTCCTGAAAAGGGTAACACAATGAAAGGAACTGAGTTTGGAAACTAATTTTCAGATTCAGTAGAGGCCTATGACACATCCAAATAGAAACACAGATGACTATTACAGTCTGGAGTAAAAGGGAAAGTCAGAAAATTTAGAGACACATAGTCATAGGTGCTGAATGGAAACCACTTGGTCCCAGTGTGAAAGAACAGGTGAACATCAAAGTTAGGAGAGCCACACACAAGAGTAGGTGAAACACCAGACAAAAGCAAGCCATCAGGGCTCAAGAAGAGGGAATAGAGAGAGGAACAAGGAGAAAGTTGTATGTAGTTAGTAACTGCACTTACAAAGCCCAAGTGGTAGTTTCCAAGTATCTCTGAATGAACAATGTGAAGAGAACTTTGATGATGGAAACCCATCAAAAGAAAAAAAAAAATAGATGATCATTTAAATAGATACAAAAAAGAAATTGCTTAAAAATAATAATCACTAAGATTTCATGGGAAAGGAATCAGAGAGATCAAAGATAAGTGCATCTAAGAGAATGCTAAACTTTCTAACAGCTCTGTTACCTGCTAAACACTTGACCTAGAACAGGGAACCCACTGGCTGTTTTATTTTATTTTTTGGTCCGGTCGTGGGCCTGAACTCTGGGCCTGGGCACTGTCCCTCAGCTCTTCAGCTCAAGGCTAGCGCTCTACTACTTGAGCCACAGCGCCACTTCCAGCTTTTTTTCTTTTTTGCTTATGTGGTGCTGAGGAATTGAATCCAGGGCCTCATGCATGCAAGGCAAGCTCTCTACCACTGAGCCACCTTCCCAGCCCGCCACTGCCTGTTTTAAAGAAACAAATGTATAATGGAACAACTTTCTCAAACAAGATACATCTGCAGGTGTTGGTAATAAGCTCCTATGAGTTTGGGCCACAGTTTAGTATTGGCCACCTCATCCACTGTGGAGGAACCATGTATTGTGGGATAGGTACACCATGGGCTCAAAAGGGAGCTCTGAGCTCCTGGTGGTCAGCACCCAGGTGATACAATGTTAGGTTGCTCTGTGGTGACTACCTGCCCGGCAAGCTCAAGGCCCTGAGATCAAACCTAAGTAATACCAAAAACAGAATTAATAGCAGAATTGTTTTATTTTTTTTTATTTTTTATTTTTTTTTGGTCCGGTCGTGGGGCCTCAACTCTGGGCCTGGGCGCTGTCCCTCAGCTCTTCAGCTCAAGGCTAGCGCTCTACCACTTGAGTCACAGCACCACTTCCAGCTTTTTTCTTTTTGCTTATGTGGTGCTGAGGAATTGAACCCAGGGCCTCAGGCATGCAAGGCAAGCGATCTACCACTGAGCCACCTTCCCAGCCCTAGAATTGTTTTAAAGAGTGGAAACACTTAACCTGTCTTCAATAGGAACTATACTATGACACAATATGCTGAAAGATATTTTACAGTATGAATTTAGAAAGTCCCATATTAAAAATTAAGCTGGGTGCTGGTGGCTCATGCCTGTGATCCCAGCTACTCAGAAGGCTGAGATCTGAGGATCGAGGTTTGAAGTGGGCCTGGGCTGGTGCTCATGCCTTGTAATCTCAGCTATTCAGGAGACTGAGATCTGAGGATCAAGGTTTGAGTAGACCTGGCAGGAAAGTCTGTGAGTGAGATCCTTCTCACCAATTAACTAACTCCAGAAAAGCCAAAAGTGGAGATGTGGCTCAAGTGGCAGAAAGCTAGCTTAGATAAAGCACGTAAACTCTGAGATCAAGCCTCAGGACTGGCACTAAAGTATTAGCTCTTTATAACCTTCCTTTGGCAATGGGTAGGAGACAGAAAAGGAAAGGATTGTTTATACACATTTTTATCATGTTAGTAAGGAATACTAAAGATAGGTTAATTTTCTAACTTTAATTGTGCATACAAGAATGACCAGTTTATTACTGATGAAGCACTGACTGAGCAGTGAGTCCAGGAACCACCCAGTGTCCTAAGGCAGCAATGGCCAAGAGAAGCTTCTCAGTTAATTCTCTTCATTTTACTTTCCAATGGGAAAAATTAAACCTAATGGTTAATGTCTCAACGTCACATAACTACTGTGACAAAATGACCTAGATAACAATCTAAATTTGTCTATACTATATCAAATAGTATGAGTTGTTTATAGAATTTTCTACTTAATATTTTCATGAAGCTATAAAGAAACCACAATACACCCCATACACACTATACATTATATACTCCATAAAAATGAACCATTATGACCTCTCAGCTATAGAAAGTTCCATTTGTTGCTGAGATTGTTTAGCCTATCTCTAAATAGAACAGTGTTTCAAATGTTTACAAAGGAGAAAATATGGAAATTAAGCCAAGTGCCAAAGCTCATGCCTGTAATCCTATCCTAGCTACTCAGGAGGCTGAGATCTGAGGATCACAGTTCAAAGCCAGCCCAGGTAGGAAAAGTCTATCTCTATTTAACCACAAATGAAGTCAGAAGTAGGGCTGGGATGTAGCTCCGTGGAAGTGCTTGCCTAGCAAATGCAACATCCTGGGTTTGATCCCCAGTACAAAAAGGAAAAAGACAAAAAGGAAAAAGCAAACAAAAAGAAGCCAGAAGTGAAACTGTGGCTCAAAGTGGCAGAGAACGAGCCTCAAGCAGGGACAGAGCTGAGGGCCCACCCAACTTCAAACCCCAGTATAGGCACAAAATAATATAGACAGAATACAATAGATATGATAGACAACTGACAGATACAGATAGATGGATAGATAGATCAGATAGGCAGACACAGACAGACAGATTTACCCCTAGAAAATCACTATCTAAAAGGATAATACATGTTCACAACCAGACAGTCCTTTCTTAAAAGGCCAGTACTGATGACCTTCCTTCATTTCATCTCCTTTTGTCTCCTTCCTCCCTGCTGGCAGCTTCTCTGCTAGTGTAATCTCATCCTCATTGATACCTTCTGAAGGTTAAATCTGACACCTACACTAATCCCCCTTGAAAATGGATCCTTAGCCACACCCTTACTGCTCCCTTTCAGAACACACTTTCTCATTTCTTACACCATGAACAGGCTTGAAAATGTTCCCAATCAAATTCTTAGCTCTTTTCTTACTTAATAGTCCTTCAATTTCTCTCTCTCTCACAGTTTAAGTGTCAGAAGAACCCAAGCCATACCTTTTAACACTTCCCTCAGAAACTTTACTTCATTCAGAAATTGGAATTCTACCTTTCATGAAACACTAGAACACAGCTGAGTCATGTTCTTTGGCACTTAGTAACAAGAATTAGCTTTCCTCCAGTTTCTAACAGCAGCCTGTTCCTCATTTCCTTCCAAGACCTAACCAGATTGGCCAACATCTTCCTCATGGCCATAAAGACTAAGGAAAGAAAAGCTTCTCTCTAGCTCTTTTCTCCTTAGTCCTCAACAGAATCACTTTTAACAGCTTAATTTGTGACAACAATCCCTGCATAACAATCCAGAATTTTTCTAGCATGTTTCTGAATATGCCTCTAAGCCTTCACCCATTAACTAGGTCTAGAGCCACTTATACATTTTCTAGGTATTTATGGTGTCTGCATCCCACTTCTGGTATTGAATCTTATCAGTCAGGACCACTTACTAGAGACTGGGGCTTAAATAAAAAAATTAATTTTCTCATAATTCTGGAAGCTCCTGCCATCCTGATACCTGGCCGAAGGCCCTCTTCCTGTTTTGCACATGGCTTGTCCCTGTCTGCCACAGGGTGGAAGGACATACTATAACAGAGCAAGGGCAATTCCTCCCTCCCCCTTAGACCAGAGCTCCTTGTTTATGATCTCATTTAATCTCAACTCTTCTTTTGGACATTTCATCTCTAAACACAGTCATATTAGGACCTGGGGCTGCAACGTATGAATGGGGAATACAAACATTCGAACCACCAGAGACACTATAAACGTGTTCTAAAACTCTCGAACACCCAGAGTCCTACACTGGCAGGTTCATGCTGAGCTTTCAGGGTAAGTAAACAAGCTTACACTAGTGTCCGTAACAGGCTGAGGTGTCGGCAGCTGTACCACGTATCTCCAAATATGAGCAGTCTGATCTCCAGAGGCTGAAGAGAGAAATTGAGGGAAAATTACCTAGTATACACACCACACAAAATCTGCTCTTTGCTCTGATAAGAAATACTAGTCAAGTCTTTGTAATTTAGTGATCAGTTCATAAAATGAATGTACTTTATTAAACTAGCTATTCCTGGGCTACAAACGGCTATTAATGGGGTTGGGAAGGTGGCTCAGTGGTAGAGCGCTTGCCTTGCATGCATGAAGCCCTGGGTTCGATTCCTTAGCACCACATAAGCAAAAAGAAAAAAAAAAAAACCCGGAAGTGGCTCTGTGGTAAAGTGGTAGAGCACTAGCCTTGAGTTGAAGAGCTGAGGGACAGTGCTCAGGCCCAGAATTCAAGCCGCACGATCGGACCCAGGGGAAAAAAAAAAAGGCTATTAATAATAGAGAAAGTATGTGAAATTAGGATTCTAATTACTTACAAAGTATTTCTCCTTGGGCTGGGAAGGTGGCTCAGTGATAGAGCACTTGCCTTGCATGCCTGAGGCCCTGAGTTCGATTCCTCAGCACCACATAAGCAAAAAGAAAAATGCCAGAAGTGGTGCTATGGCTCAAGCACTAGCCTTGAGCTGAAGAGCTGAGGGACAGCACCCAGAGTTCAGGCCCCACGACCGGACCCCAAAAAAAAAAAGACATAGTATTTCTCCTTTCCATTTTAGGATAGAAAAGTTGTGGAGTTTTAAGATCTAAAACAGTAGATTTTGTTTTACATCTACCAAATGAAAATTCTATTATACTCTTAACTCATGATTATAACAGATGTTATAGTTAAGATGTTTTAAAAAAGCAAGTAATCATCATTTTCATCCACTCAACATTGACAGGGCTTAATTACCAGGCTCCTGTTAGTAGCACTTACTTATGCCACTTCCCTATTGCTTTGTTTTCATGACCCAGAGTTTATAAGGAAATGCTCTAAAATTCAAGAAGTTAAAAAGTGCAGCACTGCAGAGCACAGATGAGGTCCTCAGAAACATCAGGCTGGTTATGTCTCAACCCTCACCAAGCAGTCTGGCTTCCATTTCCTCTCCAGTGCTGCAAAGAAGTTACTATGTGCTGATAAGAGTATTATTTCTTATAGTAAAAAAAAAAAAAAATTATTATCCTGACTTGCCAATTTCTTGATAAGTCAACATCTCTTTTCAATCAACAATTGCATTCTAACTCCTTACTATCTCCATTACTTTAGTTCAAAGTTCCCATAAGTCCTTTTTTTTTTTTTTTTTTGCCTGTCCTGGGGCTTGAACTCAGGGCCTGGGCACTGAGCTTCTTTTGCTCAGGCTAGCACTCTACCACATCACCACTCCCACCTTGTTCTGTTTATGTGGTACTGAGGAATCGAGCCCAGGCCTTCATGCATGCTAGGCAAGCACTCTACCACTAAGCCACATTCCCATTCCCTCAGTTCCATTTTTAAATGTCTCTTAGTTTCACCCATACTTCTTTCTGTTTGCCTCTAGACATATCTGCCAGTGGTCTCCTTGCCTCCTTTTTACCCAATCATACAACACACTACCAGTGTAGTAAGATTTAAATTCCTGACCTATTTTCCTCCTCAAACATGTATTACTATATAAATTCGTTATGCTAGTCTAGGCCTATTGTCAAATAGTTGTCAGACTAACCTTCCCTCCATATTCCTCTCACACATAAAAATTCTCTGACCAGACTGAGTGACTACTACATCTCACATATTCAAATTACTTGTGCTTCAGTTCAACTTTACCTGTAGGAAGTACCTGACTATCAAAACTTTTGTGCTTTTCATAAGGTCAGCAAAATCTGTTCTATAAGTCAAATCCAGGTCATGTTCCACTTCTGCAAATAAACAGCCATGTCCCTTCATCTGTGCTTTGTCTCTGCTACTTTCATGCTACAAGGGGATTGAGTCACTGTGAGACAAAGACCATATGCTTACTAGCTGATCCTCTACAGAAATTCTGCTGGCCTCTGGTTTACCAAAACCCAACATGTACCCTTCAAGATTATCACCACTGTCTCCAAAATACCACATGGCTCAAAGGTGCTCTGGCTATTTTATGGGACAAATCATCAGTACAATAAAAGACTATGCTCCAAAAACACAGGAATGTTTTTTAAACCATGCTATAAATATGACAAACTCTAGCTCTCACATAAAAATGAGACTATTTCTGTATTAGTGTTTTTCTCATTTATTTCAGATGCAGACAAGATTAGGAAACAGCAATAAGTACAGGACTTCCACCAACTACAGTGGTACAATGTACTGTGAATCATATGCAATAACAAAATGTTTTATAAAGACTTCATAAAGAATATGAATTGATTTTAACTTCACAATAAATTGTAACTCAATATATTTATTCATTTCTCATTTAACTCAAATTATAAAACAAATATCTAAATTTCAAAATATAGCTATGGATAACTCTAATGTTGTGGTTTTTTTGTTTAATATTAACCAACAATTTTGTTCAGTAAAGAAAAGGAATCAACATACCAGTGAGAGCCAACTGCTCTGAGGGATGAAATTTTATAGAATTTACTGCAAAACAAAAATATCACAAAAAATAGGTTTTAAACATAACATGGGCATGTTATCAATACTTATTTAGCTACCGCATGCACTATAAGTTAAAAATTAAAGAACCTATGATAGGCCAATACTAAATCCTCCCATTCCTTTGAACTATGAATAACTATGTAAGCTAGAATCAAGGTACAACAAAAAGTGTAAGTCCAAACTGCTAAATTAAAAGACACAGAGAAAAAAAGGAATATTAATAATCTACCCTACTTACAGATAGAAAAGTCATTTAGAGCTAAAATTTAACAAGAGGAAAAAGAACAGTATCATAATGATGAATAAAAGCAAACTGCAGTGTACAGACAACCTACTGTCTATCCAACTAGCTGTAAGCCCCATCCTGCTCTCCTTCCCAGCTCATACACCCCAGTTTACTTTACTGGGGGACAAATAAAGATCCTTAAGAATGAATTCCTCGACCTCAGAAAATGAATCAAATTGGCTGGAACCAGTTGTGGTATCTCCTCTCTCCCTATCATTTTCCTTATCCAGATCCAGGAAACAAAATGGGATGCTTGGTGGTCTGCTGAGGAAGCTCTCATTTTCTTACTAGAGAAGCCAAAGAAGAGTCCAGTACTCCTTTGCTCCTTCCTTCTGTCCTTCCTTCCCTTCCTCCTCCCTATCAGCCTCCTATGAATGCTGATGACCCATCTCAGTGGGAGATCAAAAGGTAACAGCATGATTCTAAAAACAAGCATACTGAGGCTAGATGGCAAGTCAAGGGGGCTGTCACATATTAAAGTAGCTCCGGAGCCCACTTACCCATGTAGAGCCGAATTCAAGTGACTCTGGGGAGGCCCAATTCTCACTTCCAAAGCTCATAAAGAATACACAGTAGAAATTCTACTGAACTTCAATAACTTGTCTCTTTTAATAAGATTTTATTAGGTATATCATTATAATTAATTTCTTTAAGTAGCTAAATGAAAAGGCCTGGATGAGGCTCTTTTACTAGTAACATTAAAATACAGGTAACTATTTGAAAAGCTGGTAAAAACTGTCCAAACGGATTGGGAAGGTGGCTCAGTGATAGAGCCCTTGCCTTGCATGCCTGAGGCCCTGGGTTCGATTCCTCAGCACCACATAAGCAAAATGAAAAAAGCCAGAAGTGGCGCTGTGGCTCAAGTGGTAGAGAGCTAGCCTTGAGCTGAAAAGCTGAGGGACAGCACCCAGGCCCAGAGTTCAGTCCCCACGAATGGACCCAAAAAAATAAAAAATTAAAAAAAAAATTTGCTGTAACAATTTGCCACAAACTTACCAAAAAGAAAAAAAAAAACTGTCCAAACCTTCAAGTAGGGAATGCAAGTGATATATATTGTTAAACATAAATTTTAAAACTAAATTTTAATTTTTCCTCATGAGGAAGTTAGATCAAAAAGGTAAACAAATGAAAACAAAAAATATCAACCTTGTTTTATTTTTGAGCAACTATTTATTTGTATTCCAAGCACTGTTAGAATTGCAAGCAATGTAACAGCACCACAGGCAGTCTGTGAGAATTAAGACAGACGAGGAAGCAGTATGGAGAGAGAGAGAGGATGTTTAATATGAGAAAGTACAAGCTTGTTTATAAACCAACAAGGAAGAGCTAATGGCAAAACAGACACAGAACACACAAGTCCAATAGAATAGCTGAGGAAAGAAGGTGCCAAGAAAACCTGAGGTGGACGTCTGGTCTGTAGCTCACTCAGACCTCTGGTCTTGGACAAGACTACTGAGATGGAGCAGGAAGGTGCAACAAGAACAAAGATTCACCCAAGTATGTAACTGTAGAAACCAAAGGTGATCATGACTAAGAGTCCAGCAAAGCTAAAGGGACAACGGTGGCTGGCAGAGAAGGCTGATCAAAAGTGGTAGGCAGCCTTTGACAGAGGCTGAAAAGGAGGACATTCTAGAGAGAAGGAAGCTCACAGGATGTTTGGGAGGAAAGTGAAAAGTAAAATTTCATCAAGATACTGGTACACAACATGGGTTTGGTTGAAAAAGTAGAGAAAAGCTCCCATAAATGTTATTGACTACAGATACAAAAGCAAAATCAGATTGAGTATCCTTTATTTGCTTGAATAAATCCAATTTATCATTACAAGTGAATCCTCTGTATGTTTTGTATGAATAATGGACACACCGCAGTTATGAAGCTTCCTACACAATATCCAATAAGATGTAGACAAATAATTTATATAATGTTTAGTTAAGCTAAAGGAACATCATTTATCCTGGTCTTGAATATATCTCTCTGTTCCCAGATAACCAAAATGGTAAAATCTTTTATCAAGTATAAAACTTTCTATCAATTTAGTTGACTTTATCATTTAAAAAAAAATCAAAGTAAACAATTATGACTAGTGTTCATTTAGATAAATTCTCACCTGAACCAACGTGGCCTGTATATTTAACAAGGGATTTCCCAGTCTCTATGCTCCACAGCAAAGCCGTGTGATCTGTAAGACCAAAGAAGTCATAACTTAGCCATCACTGATCTGACAGTCTCTTCAAAAAAAGATACCTCAAAAATAAGAAGCGATACTACCATTATTCCTTGCAACTTTGATTTTACTATTCTATAAAATTCAACTGATCTAAGAAATGTTTCCAAGAATAGCAATGTTGTAACAAAAGGGGTTCAATGTCTTAAGAGTTTACTCTTACACTGACATGATGATCATGCTTAAAACTTCATTCAGAGGGGGTCTGGGACGGTGGCTCAGTGGTAGAGCGCTTGCCTTGCATGCCTGAGGCCCTGGATTGGATTCCTCAGCACCACATAAGCAAAAAGGAAAAAAAAAAGCTGGAAGTGGCGCTGTGGTTCAAGTGGTAGAGCACTAGCCTTGAGCTGAAGAGCTGAGGGACAGCGCCCAGGCCCAGAGTTCAGGCCCCACGACCAGACCCAAAAAAAAAAAAAACTTCAGAGGTCATTTTATCACAGCTCCATCATTCTATTGAAGTTTCGAAGCTTTCCAGAACACCTTCTGATACTGAATTTCATATAGCAGGACCATGGGCCTGGGGACAGGCAGGTACTCCCACACCAAGGCAAGTATGTTAGTTCTAATGACTCCATGTCACACATGCTACAGGAACCACGCTGCTACTGTCCACTCCAATCACTTCAATCAGTTGTCATCCCAGCAACTCCCCGTCTCAATAGCCAGCTGGATCCAGCCTGACTCACCAGCTGATGCAGTCCCCAGCACCACTGGCTGTGTCCTGGCAACACTGACATCCCAGATGCCATCCCTGTGGCCAATGTACTCCTTCACAAGCTGGCAGACGGCCCTGGATGTGGTGGTCTTAAAGCTGGACACAATCTAAAATCAAAGAAAGATATACCTTTTCAAGTATTTACCTAAGTGAATTTTTCTAAGAAGGGTAAAACAGCAAAAGACTGTCTTGAAAAATGCCTATTATTTAAATACATAATCACTGAAAACATTAAAAGAATATAACACGAGCATGAACAGAATGGAAACACTTGGCACAACATTGCTAAGTTCTTTTAGCTCAGTACTGGAAAAGAAAGTCTTTCCAGGGGCTTCAGAAGGATGTCCCCAGTTCGGTTTGACAAGAGCCAAGGAAATAATGTCTTTACTACAAAGGAGGATGTAGGCAGGCATTTCAGGTCATTCTTCCCCAAATCCAACTTATCAAAATGTTCAATTCCTTTCAAAAAAAAAAAAAATGTAGCTAGTCGTCAGAGATAAAGAAGGAAGTAATACTTAAAAACATTAACTCTAACTACTGTGTGTGCTGAGAAACTTTCCTTTCCTTTTCTTCTCATTTTCATGTTTACACGAAATACGTATCATCTGGAAGAAAACAGCTCGTGCTGGGAGAAGATTCAAAAGAACACACTTGTAACAGATAAGAGGGTTTGTTCAAGATTGTTTATTGAGCACTTGCTCAGAGTCACGCACTGTGCTAGATGGAGGAGACGGTGGAGAAGAGCTGAGCGACACACAGGCTCCTTGCCTTTGGAAGCTCACAGTCTAACGGGAAACAGACATGAGAACAATACAGACAGCAAGATACATAGTGAGGTACTGTCTCATAGAATGACATATACAGTAAACAATACTCATTTTCTTATAAGAAAAAATATATATATAAAGTGAGTGAGGAAGAAACTAAACACAAAATAGATAATTAGGAATAATGAAACCATAAAATTCAAGTGAAAACAAACATTGGTGGTATAATACAACATGCCTGAAACACTGATTCAGCAAAGCCCTAAAAAAATGTAGGTGAATTACATAAACATAAACATGCACAATTCACGGTTACACAAATTAAATCGTGCATTCAAATTATCTCCCAATACAGTGAAAGATGAGTACAAAAGCTTGACAAGAGAACATTTTTACAGTACTATGTTACATATGCCTCAATAGAAAACATAAAAGGACTTTTCAACTTCAAACTCATCATTTCTATCTTCTTTACTTTCTCATTTATCCAACTTATTCGACCCAGAAATATTGTCCCTCCACAATATGACAAACATGCTTACAGAAAATGCCATTCAGATGACAAATGGTATTACACTGTAGGAGGGAACGAAGTTATAGACCAGATAAAACTCTTTCCATAGTAAGCTATAGTTTCATTTTCCAAGTCTCTCTCCATTGCTAATAGTAAATATCATTATTACTAGAAACCACATTTCTCACCTACCCCTTTCATAAAGTAAGAATGGCAGGACTACTACTGTTGTTATAATTATGAATACTGATATACATTATCTCCAGTGTGCTAATTCAGAAATGCCCACTATACTTTATGTGTATCTGTAACTAGGTTTTTGTTCCTAATGCATACTGACTTAGTCACAATTATAAGAAATGTTCAGGAAAAAAAGCAGCAGAATGAAGAACTAAGTGTCTAACTCACGTCACTTAAGATATGATCTGTAGCACTTCCAAAAAATCATGAAGGGCTTTTACCATGATAAAAGACAGTTTAATAAAATACATACAAACATCACACATTTCTTTTCTTTGGGTCAGTCATGGGCCTGAACTCTGGGCCTGGGCGCTGTTCCTCAGCTCAAGACTAGCACTTGACCACTTGAGCCACAGCGCCACTTCTGGCTTTTTCTACTTATGTGGTGCTGAAGAATTGAACCCAGGGTCTCGTGCATGCAAGGCAAGCACTCTACCACTGAGCCACCTTCCCAGCCCCTCTTCACCCATTTCTTAAAGGCAGTTTACATGTTAGCTGGTCTTGCTCCCTCACATGGTGTCATCACTGAACACAGGAAGGGTTACTGAACACCCTTTTGTGTTCCCACACTCTCAACAAACATGCCAGTGCCTTTCATGGCTGAATCAGGAGAGGAACTAATAAATCTAGACTGTAGAGAGGAACTAATAAATCTAGACTGTAGTATTGTACCTATTACATGCAAGTTAAGCTTAACACTCAGAAGCCATGCTGCTAAGTATAAATTTGTATATATTCTGTTATTATATACTCGTATATATTCTGTTACTTCTTCAATTTTCAGATGTCTTGGTTTTCATTATTATTTTTAGGATGATTAAACATGATGTGCAAAATGATACAAAGATGATTAGTAATATGTCTCTTTTTTTGTGTGTCAGTCTTGGAGGTTGAACTCAAGGCCTGGGTGCTGTCTCTGAGCTTCCTTTTGCTCAAGACTAGTGCCCTAACACTTGAGCCACAGTTCTGCTTCTGGCATTTTGGGGTAGTTTAGTAAGGTTAGAGTCTCAGACTTTTCCTGCTGGGGCTGGCTTCAAACTGCAATCCTCAGATCTCAGAAGCTAGGATTAGAAGCATGAGCAACCACCACCTGGCATATATGTTTCTTATAAATAAATTTTGAATCCTAAATTGGCTAGGACCCTAAATAGTCCTAATATGTAACTTTAAGTCAAAATACTAATGTACATATCCTCAACTTTGTCCAAATCTCATTTTTTATTGCCTATTGTAAAGGACATTTTATAGAATTATTCCTTTTTCTACTTCAGAAAAAGTCAGAAGAAAGTTTTGAAATTCTAAGACCACACATAGTACATGTACAATGCACCAGAATAAGCAATATAATTTGAATATAGCAAGAAAATAAATAAGGAAGCATGTAACTTCACATCTCACTTTGTAAAAAATGCTGTTATTAAAACTTTCAAAACTATGTGAACTGGATACTACAGGATAAAAAAATACATTATCACCTTGCATTCCACATGTTATCAGAGCAAACAAAATGAAGGCAATATTTTCTTCTAAATGACAATGGTCAATAACCTTCAAATAAGGAGAAATGGCAGAAAGACAATTTGCCCTATTAACTATAACTGTCATGCTAAATAACTGCAACTTCAAGAGAACAAACCAGAAAAAGAAAAAGCTAAAGAAAACTATTAATGCACTCATAGTAGAGAACTGAAAATATTAACTTTCCAATCGTTTTAGTCAAAGGACAATTTTGAAGATTATAATTTATATTTTACTTACTTGAAATATTCTAAAGTACAGGTGCATACAACATAACCTCAAAATATTGTTTATCATGTAATGCTTTCTCAAATTATTACATCCTTGTTACTTTAAGATGGTCCACAAAAGATACTTCAAAATCAAAATTCCCCACCTTAAATACATATATTCCTCACCCATAGAAAAATCAGTTAAGACAACTAAAATGTAATTTCTACATAATTTACATTCCTTATTCATATCTATTAACCTTCTCCAAATTCAGAAATAATCAAAGCTGATTAGCAATGGCAAATATATTTTTTTCTCACATATTATTTCTCTAAAGACAATATACTAATACATACTATTGATCATAGTTAATATTAGGTCAAGGTAGAATCTTCAGTATACATATATTATAGTTACTTAACATAAAATATTCTTTTTTAAAAGTTAAACTTCCCTAGAAACCAGACATTTTTTCTTTTTCTACTGCATGTATCTAATTGGAAAACATGCAATTTAAAGTATACATCTGCACACGTTAAACACCACATGACTGGTTCCAGAGCCAGCGCCCTGCATACCTTGCTAGTAGAAGCCTTGTAAGTAGTCTTCAGTTTCTGAGAAAGCTGACTGGTGCTGTGACTGGCTGTAAAAACAAAGAATCAATAATCAAATACCATCCAACTACAGAACCACAGCATCACAAAGTGCACCTTTGTCTTACATAAAGCAAGAACAAAACCCAGAAGGGATTGTTTGCCATCCTAAGATGAAGACAAGGACTCAAGCTCCCTGGCTCCCGTTTCACCTAGACCCACATCTGAATTATGTGCTTTGCTGATTGCCAAAAGCCAAGGAAGTTAATGTCCCTCATTAAATTTCAAACGTCCTCAATAAATAATCTGCAGGAAGCACCCTCACCAGCATTCTCCATACCTCAGTAAATAACGTGCAGGAAGCACCCTCACAAGTATTCACGTACCTTTTGTTTTGAGCTGGCCCTTACTCAGTTCTGCTCCATCAATTGCTTGTCCTTCAGCAGCTAAGCGTTCATTAAGAGTATCAATTTCTCTACGCACTGAGAATTTAAAAAGAATTTTCAAAAATGTAAAATGATTTTGTATTTAGACATTCTCACCACTTGCAAAAGACTTACACATAAAAATACCATCAAGAGGAAAACATAAGAAATATTCTGAAAAGCAAGACCACAATTTATAGTTTCCAAAAACTCAAGCAATCATTCCAGACCCCATTCCGAAAACAAAAGCTTGCATGCACTGGCTACCCTGTGACAATGTAAAGTGAGAGGACACCACCTCAGTATAGTTCTGCAAGTTTCCCCTGTGTTGATTTTGTACACTTAAAAACAGTCTCAAATCCAGTGTACTATTTAGAATCCCCTGAAGGATAATGCAAGTGAAGGGGAAAAAATAGCATAATAAAAACTCTATAAGCATTAAATAAAAATAAAAAAAGACAAGAATTGGAGCAGTAGAGGGGATAAAAGACATGATCGTTTTCTAGCATCTTACTGAAAAGCATTAATGCACTTAGCCAAAGGTGGGCAAATCTAAATCTGGTCGCCAATTACCTACAGAAATAATCACAAGAGCCAAAAGCAAAAAATGCAGGAAATGTCTTCCTTTGAAGAGCGTAATGGAGTTAAAGGATGATGGTAGGTACCTTTCTTTTCATACTGTTTCAATAGTTTTTAAGCATATGCAGGCATGACTTCCAAAATACAAAACAAAAAATTACAGCCAAACTAACTCAAAAAATTTTTGTTTTTAATAAGTCAGACAATGCTTACCCTTAGGAACTTTGATGGTAGATTATAAAGAAAAACAAGAATCAAAGTTTTCCCTGGTTATAGTATACTTAGTGAAGGAAAAATAAAATATGATATGTAGGTACCATAGGCAGAATAGCCCTCTCAAAGATTCTTGGGCCCAGAATTACCTCACAATATACTAGGAGTTCCTTAAGTGGAGAGCATGCCCTGAACTTTGGGAGGGGGAGCAGGAGAGGTGTCCGTCAATCTGTATTCTTTTAAGTGGAGGAGAAAACAGAAGGATTGGTAAAGAGGTAACCAGAGAAACCATCACAAGCAACTGGATGCCATCAAAGGATAAACAAGCAGGAGATGCTGACCCTATAACCCCCCCAGCTCTGCCAATACCCCGACTGCGTCTAGTGAGAATTATGCCAGGCCTACAGAAGAACTATATGATTCGAATTTGGGTTATTCTAAGCCACTGAGTTTGTCACAGGAGAGCAGCAATTTAATAGAGTCATAAATGCATAACTGTAGTTTTTACTAAGATTTCCATAGAGAGGTAAAAATCATTTTAAGAGTAGATACTCACATTCCAAATTTTCAATATAAAGATTTTCAAATTCTCTCTCTATTTGACCAAACAATTCCAGAAGTGTACTGCGAACTGAGGAGGGCAGTTTAGAATCCTGTAAAAAAATAAGATTTTGTTTAAAATGAGTAAGAAATTTCATTACCAGATACCAATAAACTTTTTTCAAAGTGAATTACCTTTTACCTTAATCTCTCATACCATAGTACTTTATATTTGCCACATATAAGATGCTTTTAAGAGGAGCAACACAGGAAACATCACCATTTTTACTCCATGAATGAGAACAATCTTGTGTCAGGAAAGACTAGATTCAGAAGAAAGGAAGAGAGGAAGGGAACTAGAAACCATGAAGGAGCTTGATAGGAGATGATGGGAAGCAGAAAACCACAGAGAAATTATCCCAGCAGGAAAAAAGCAGTAAGAAACAGCTGTAGGCTCCCCTGACAGAAGTAGGAAATGGAAGACTACTATATAAACTCCAATCAGAGGTCCTGCCAACAACAGCTGCAGAAAAGCCAACTACTCGGGAATGGCCCAGGCCCTGAGTTCAAGCCCCAGATCAGCACCAAGAAAAAAAAAAAAAAAAAAACTAATCATGAGTATAGAAAGAGAAGAAATACAAACTAAAGGTACTGAGAATCTACTCAATAAAATAATAGTAGAAAACTTCCTCAACTTCATGAAGAGAATCTTCCATATAAAGAAGGCTTACAGAAAGGAAGAGGCTACAATGCTTGATAAGAAATGTACTCATTATCTTGCCCATGTAAATGTAACCCCTCTGTACAGTATTTTCACAATAAAAAATAAATAAGTAAAATTTGTTAAAAAAAAAAAAAAAAAGAAAGAAAGAAGGCTTACAGAACACCAACTAGGCAAGAATAGAAAAGCAACACCCCTAGATATCTTATAATAAAAACACTGAATACAGACTAAAGCTACAAAAAAGATGGACTTTTAAGTGTAAGAAGCATCTATTGTAGTGGTAGACTAGGTAGGAGTCATCAATTTCTTTACCTTTTATTTCCTCCCTCTATTATGAAGGATTAGCCTCACTGAGTATACTGGTCTAGGCTAGCAATCGTTCTCTTTCACACTGGAATTGCATTCTTCCATGCCTTTCTGGTATATAGTTAGACTCAGCAGTCTTCTGTGATCATGGGTCATTGCCCTGCACTAACCACTACTTTCTAAACTACTTCATATTAATGAATCTAACATGAAAATATTAAACCTGACATCATGTCACACAAGCTAATCTTCACCTTTTTTGGTATGATTTCCCAGCAACTGAAAGTGATTCCTGTATTTCAAATCTACTAGCAAGTTCTCCATTCTCACATCATTCCACTCATACCTACCATGCCAATACGTGCACTGAACACTCACTGCTCTTTCCTCCTGCTGCTGAGAAAGGCAAAGCACCTCACACTGGCTGCTCACAGAACATGCTGGCTGGTCCCACTCCAAATAACCATACTCACTGAAAAAGTGCCATCAAAGAAATATAGGAGACACAAAGGACCATTACAGTAATGCCCAAGGCTAGGCTGTTCAGCCTAGAAAATTCTCAATTTCATTCTAGGGGTGACTGTGTGTCATCATGTGTGACATCACAATGCAGGACAAGTGCACACAGGCCAGGAGAAGAACAAGCTAACCTCATATGGAAGGCAACCCCAGCAAAAGAGGTGCCAAGTGTAAGTAAATCAAAAACCTAGAAACCATCTCTGGCTGTTCACTGCATTGTCCAATACAATATCTGGCAGTTACATATGACTTTAAATTTCAATGTAAAATAATTCTTCTTTTTTTTTTGGTCAGTTGTGGGACCTGAACTCTGGGCCTGGGCGCTGTCCCTCAGCTCTTCAGCTCAAGGCAAGTGCTCTACCACTTGATCCACAGCACCACTTCTGGCTTTTGCTGCTTATGTGGTGCTGAGGAATCGAACCCAGAGCCTCATGCATGCAAGACAATCACTCTACCACTGAACCACCTTCCCAGACCCAAATAATTCTTTTTTTTTTTTTAATTTAAATCCAGGTTCTAAGCTACAAGGCCACCTCTCAAGTACTCAACAGTCACGTTACCTTGTGGTGACGTGTATCTCACAGCTCCATTATAAGCCAACACACCAGAAAAGTTCCATTGCATTACTCAAGAGACTAAAATCTGTGTCTCCCAAAATCCATATGTGCAACTCCAACCCCTCAGAATGTTACTTTGCGTAGTTTTACTGAGGTATTAAAGTAAAAGGCAGTGATATTGGGAAACCTTAATCTACTATGATTAGTATCCTTTCAAGAGACTAAACGTACAGAGGAAAGACAAAGGACAAAAGCCAAGGGGGAGGCCTCAGAAGAAACCCAACACTTTCCATACCTTAATTTCCATTTCAGCCATCAGAACTGTGAGAAAGGAAATCTCCATTGTTAAAGCCCACAGTCCACAGCACTTTAAGAGAGCAATTTTATTTCTAATGTTAAAGGAAAATGTAATCAGTTTTTAATAGAAAATAGAATGGGGCACAATTGAGTATCTCTATATCCAAATTCTGCACCTGAGCAAAATGGGGATAGAAGCACTGCTCATGTGATAAAAGAATTGCCTAGAAGGAATGTGTGCATATTATATACATATTATATGTATATAATACATATGCTTATGTAAGCATATATATAGACTATCTTAATATAACAGTTTTGTTTAGGCTTCACATTAATATTCTTCAAAAATTCTAACATTTCAACATCTTTAAAGTTTTAACAGAAAAGATACAATATTCCTACTAAAGCAGAAACAAAAAGCTAAGTAGTTACTAAAACATTGGGTTGTGAAACTCAGAGAACAGAAAAAAATTAATTAAAACTGTACAATGTTTGCTTGAGTCTATTAGGTAGAAAACACAAAAACCATGCTACCAATTAACTTGTACAAACAAAACAAATCCATACTGACACACGTCTTTTCCAGTATTATGAATGCTAACCCAGAAATCTAATTAAGACTGTGTATATTATCAAATTGATTATAATTTTAATGCATGTATTAAGATAAAAGGTTGGGGGCTGGAAGCGTAGCTCTTGGTATACAGTACTAGTTCAGGTACCAAGTTCAAGTCCTGGTGTTGGACTAAAAAAAAAAAAGATAAAAGGTTGATAACCCAAAATTTTCTCCTATTTGCAAATTTAATAGTATTTGGCTATTTTACTTTTTTCTTTTTTGAGTCAATACTGGGGTTTGAATTCAGGGACTACTGCTCTAGCTTACCACTTGAGTCACATCTCTACTTTCAGCTTTTTGCTGACTAACTAAAGACAAATGTCTACCACACTTTCCTGCCCAGGCTGACTTCAAACTGTAATCTTCAGATCTCAGCCTCCTGATTAGCTGGGATCACGTGAGTGAGCCACCACCACCTGGCTTGGCTACTTTGATAACATTACAAATACAATCTCCATCCTGAATGTGAGGTGCTGATCAATATGAACTCACTTGTCCTTCTAACATGTCTCTTGGGAGTCCAGTTCTTTCTTGTTCTGAGCTGTTGGTTCTCCGTATAGAAAGACTGTGAGATTTGCGTTTCTGCTTTGCTTGGCGAGCAGTTGAACAACTTCCGCTTTCTGTGGGCATTACTTCTCCAAGTAGTGTCCTGGCCTCTCCTGCAACAAGCTAAACAGCAGGAAAATAAGTACTTTACTTCCCATACTGTAAAACAACGACAGGTGTTTCTTTTCTTTACAAGCTTCCTATAATTAGCTAGCATTTACTATATGATTTAAACACTGCCTTTATTAGCGGTAGTTTTTAAATCAAACTTCATCAACCTCTTTAAAAAAAATCAAATAGCAAAGGGATTTTGATCAAAAAAAAAAAACTGTCCCCTACCTCAGCCTCCCCCAGGCTCTGTCTACTCCCCATAGGTAACCAATTTTAATTGCACATTCTACAGTAAATTCTATAATGAAACAGCAGAAAAGATATATGTGTAATTTTTAATTTTCCAAAATTTTTAAAGTAAAATTATGTGAATTTATTTTTAATGATTTATTTAACCCAACATATCTAAAGTATTTTAGTCAATATGAAAAATACTACTAGCACATTTATTTTATGATTATCTCTTCAAAATTCAGTATTTAATATTGACAGCATATCTCAATTCAGACTATAGTCACATGGGATTAATTTACTCAAATCTCTGAATAATTTAGTCATTATGATTTACCTGCTTCGGGCATTTTCTGTTACTACCCTTTCTCTCTCCTACTAATGTAAGTCTATCACCATGGTAGCACATCCTAAGCTAAGCAGTATGTTTACACATCACATTCTATTGTCCTTCAACTAGACAGTAATAGCCTGTTTTTAACATTTCCTACTTATTTTTTGCTATTACTTGTGAACATGTCTGAACACAATCCTACGTCAGTTTACATAAATTATTAGAAGCATGGGACTTTCCTGCAACACAACCCCAAGCCCTGCCCAACCCAAGGACACAGACATAACCACTGAGAACCAGTGTGCCCCAAGTCATCTTGATTTGATTTGGAAAGGAAAACTGCCTCTGTCCCAACACTAGGGGGACCCTATTGACTTGATGGGGAAATCCGCCAACTTTTACAATAATCCTAAGGGCTCTATCGACATCTACATTCCCAGCAGGCAACTACAACTGTGAGGAGAGCACCCAAGACAAGACTTGTTTGCGGTGGCCATCCTTCCTGACTCCTCTGACTCTTACTACCTGCTGACAAATAGCAAATTACTGGCTTAACAATCCTAACACCTAAACTACACCAGAAGATCCTGTTGCAAAATATTCAACAGTGCTGGGAAGTTGGCTCAATGGTAGAGTGCTTGCCTCGCATACATGAGGCCCTGGGTTTGATTCCTCAGCACCACATAAGCAGAAAAAAGCTGGAAGTGGTTCAAGTGGTAGAATGCTAGCCTTGAGCTTAAGAGCTGGCTGCGGGACAGTGCCCAGGCCCAAAAGTTCAGGCCCCACGACTGACCAAAAACAAACAAACAAAAAAACACAACAATAACAACAAACTCTTTCTCATTTAGTTTATTAAACTGGCATTTCAATTGGAATCCTAAATATCAAGGCTGAAAATTTATCACTTACAAAAATTCATTTACATTATTAGTGTGATTAAAATAAAAATCAGTTAATTTGACTTTAAATTACAAAAACTTCTTTACTTTTTTTAAAACATTTTTGTCTATCCTGGGGCTTACAACTAGCACACACAGCCTGGCACCAGTGGCTCACGCCAGTAATCCTAGCTACTCAGTAAACTGAGATCTGAGGATCACGGTTCAAAGCCAGAGCCAGCAGGAAAGTCCATGAGACTCTCATCTCCAATTAACCCCCAGAAAACCAGAAGTGGACCTGTGGCTCAAATGGTAGAGCACCAGCCTTGAGCTTAAGGGCTGAAGGACAGCAACCAGGCCTAGAGGTCAAGTCCCACGACCAACAACAACAACCAAAAAAAGAACTCTAGCACTCACTAGGCAAGTAAGTGCTCCACCGCTGAACCATGCCTCCAGCCCTTTATCCTTACTATATGAATGTGTGTGCATACAGTTTAACTACTTTGGTTTCCTTTTTTATTAAACACTACTTAGAGCTCTCCTATGTAAATAAAGCTTACTAAAATTTTAAAACCCCAGTCTAACACAAAAGCTTCAAGCTTTAATTTATTCATAAAACTTTAAATAAATCTCAACCAAAACATCTGTGTTAATTAAGTCTCCACTTTACTCCCAAAAACAGGATCCACTTTCTTATCATTTTGAAATAATTGTTCGTTCACAGGAAGTTATGAAAACTGTAGAGTTTAGTATTTCCCCAACAGTTACATGACAAGGCAATTTGTCGATCAATTTGTTGATCAATTTGGTTCAATGTGTTTAAAGAGCCATAACCTTGTTACAAACATTAAACGTCTACAAATACTACCATAAGCAAGATACAGAACTTTGGTTGGGGGTGAGGCTCAAATAAAACAAATGCCTAGCAAGTGAAAGGCTGAGTTTAAATAGCAGTACATGGAGCTGGGAATGTGGCTTAATGTTAGAGTGCTTTCCTAGCATATATGAAGAAGCCCTGGGTTCCAATCCTCAATACCACATAAATAGCCAGAAGTGGCACTGTGGCAAGGTTCACAGATAGAGCTCAGGGGCTCAAGACCAGAAAAAAAAAAAAGAAAAAGAACAAGCAGTTCAGCACTTCACCCCACTCCTCAAAAGATACTCTGTATGAGCATACAACCTCATGCCCATAATTTCAGCTACCAAGGAGGTCATGGTCTAGAACAGTCCAAGCCAAAAAGTTAGATTCTATTTCAAAAACAAGTTGAGCATAGTGGTTCACACCTACAGTCCAAGACTAGATCAGGGGGTGGAAAAAAAAAAAAAACACCAGATCCTACCTTAAAATTTAAAGGCAAAAGGATGACACTTGGTAGGGCACCTGCCTACCAAGCACAAAGCTAGGAGTAAAAAGATTACACTCAGGCTACACCACATCCCTCCACACTATGCATCTAACCTCTTACACATTAATTTGTATACTGTGATCAATTTTGTCACTTTGAGAATGCTACATAAGTGAGATCACAGAGTATGTGTCCTTTAGAGATTTTTTTTTCCATTCAACTTACTGGTAAAAATCAATCCAATCTGTGGTATATATCAATAATTACTTCCATTTAATGATAGGTTGTATCCATGGCAAGTATGTTTAACCACACGTTTGGATAGCCATTCACCTACTGTTATACATACATACATATATATATATATATATATATATATATATAATTTCCATTATAAGTAAGGCTGATACAAACAATAATATACAGGTTTTGTATCAATAGAACTTTTCACTCCTTTTGAGTGAAAAGTTCAAGAGTCATACAATAAACATGTTTCACTTTTGAACAAGTTTAGTTACATATGATTTATACACCAATGACTTTCAGTACATTGGGGAATTGTGTGATTGAACACCTCAGCTTTTCAAGTATCTCTCAACTCCAAAAGGAAACTCCATTACCACTAGCAGTCATTCCGCACTCTCCCCAGCAACTCCTACAACCAGCCCTAGGCTGCACCATCTCTTTCCCCCACACCACCTCCTCTAACGGGACTGGGGTTTGAACTCAACACTTACTAGGCAGGTACTCTACCATAAATTTGCTTATCCTGGCCATTTCCTAGACCATGAGCACTGAGAACCCTGGGTTCTGCATTCTCTGGGTCGGACCTTATCAATTCACCAAAGAGGGGCCTTCAGCACATAGCCCACGCCTGCCTCCAGCTCACCATCCACCTGTTTCAGCTTTGAGTTTGCTTTTAAAAGAAACTGTCAAACTGTAATCCAGAGTATTAACCATCCTGGGAAACTTAGTTTGCCACCTTCTTCCCAGCACCCAGTATTGTCACCATTGTCGGCTTCACTGTTCCTATGGGAATGGAGCACCCTTCTTGGTATGCTTCTTTTTATTTTCCAGTGTTTAGTAGCCACGAAGTTTTCTGAGATTTTTGCCATACAGATATCCTCTGCAGCAAGATATCTCTTCATTGTCTTTTACTTATTATCTGGTAGAAGTTGAGAGTTTTTCCTATAGTCTACAGTATGAATTACTAAGCAATTATCTCCAACATGTATGGGTTATAAATCTTTTCTCCTAACTGCTTCTTCATCCTAGCTGACTACTCACAAAGCTAAACTTCTTTTTGTAGATCATACTTTGGAAGTTATGTCTGAGAAGTTTTCATTAGTTCAAAAACTTGCCCTGTCCTCTACAAATTTTATAGTTTGGGGCTTTAAATCATAATTTATGAGCCATTTGGTGTTGATAGACTGACATGGTATCTTTTTTTTTTTTTGGCTCTGATACCCAATTATTTCAACATTTGTTGAAAAGATTACCTACCCTATATGTGCTTCCCCAGATGAAATTCACATGATATGAAATTTATTTTTATTAGCATACATTAATAGTACAAGAGGTACTTTGTTGTGGAATTTCCATACATGCACACAATATATCCTCATCAGTTACCTTCCCTGTCACTTACCTCCTTCCCCCTTGTCCCTTCCTCAAATAATCATCAGGTTTTATTGTTCTATTTCCATACATACAAATAAAATAATTCTTGGTTTTCTGAACTGAGCCTCACTCATCCTCTTCTATAGCCTATCACCTTCCACTAATACTCTCCTCCCGCCAACAGTCTTTTACTTTCCTTTCTTTTTTTGGTTTTAGTATAAATTAATTGTACCAGAGATTTGACCATGGTCTTTTTTTTTTTTTTTTTTGGCCGGTTGTGGGGCCTGAACTCTGGGCCTGGGCACTGTCCCTCAGCTCTTCAGTTCAAGGCTAGTGTTCTACAAATTGAGCCACAGTGCTACTTCAGGCTTTTTCTTTCCTTCTGTTTATGTGGTGCTGAGGAATCGAACCCAGGGCCTCAGGCATGTAAGGCAAGCACTCTACCAATGAGCCACCTTCCCAGCCCTGCCCATGGTATTTCTGATATGTGTATATCATTTTTTTAATTCAGAATAAAGCCATAAGTAGTTACATTAGTTCTGTATTCTATTCCGCTAATCTATGTATCTATTCCTCCAACCATTGTTTTGAAAGCTGTTACAA